GTATGAAAACTCTTCTTAGCCAGGCAACACACTGACTTCCACGAGCCTGAGGCACTTGGACTAGAGTGGGCTCTATTTTGATAAAAAATAAATTATAATTTATGTTTTACAACTGCTTGAATAGGAAGACAAATATAATCCAGGCCGGATCCATATTGATTACGATTATACGCATTCTTTTCCTTCTGATTTTAAATTAAAATTTAATTTTTTAAACTAAAACATTTTCATGGGTTCCTAAAAATATCCTGTGGGCAGGGACATGCCATCCAGCTGCCCAAGTGGGCAAGGGACCCAGGGAGGCTTGGGGGCAGGGTAGACACATGTTGTTGTGAGGTGCTGCTGAGTCGGTTCTGACTCATAGGGGCCCAGTACATAATGGAACAAAACACTGTCGAGTCCTGCACCATCCTCACAATCGTTGCTATGCTTGAGCCCATTGTTGCTGCCACTGTATCAATCCATCTCATTGGGGGTCTTCCTCTTTTTCACTGACGCTCTGCTTTACCAAACATAATGTATCCTTCTCCAGGGACTGATCTCTCCTGATACCAAAGTACAAGAGACGAAGTCTCACCATCCTGGCTTCTAATGAGCATCTGACTGCCCTTCTTCCAACACAGATTTATTTGTTCTGGCAGTCTGTGCTATTTTCAATATCCTTTGCCAACACCATAATTCAAATGCATCCATTCTGTAGTCTTCCTTATCCATTGTCCAACTTTCACATGTATATAAGATGATTGAAAATACCATGACTTGGGTCAGGCTCACCTTAGTCTTCAAACTGACTTTTTTGCTCTTTTAACACTTTAAAGAGGTCTTTTGCAGCAGAATTGTCTAAGACACATATACTAACACTTCAAAATATCAACCCATTGCCTTTCCAAAAGTCAAGCCCACCCATGTCATTCCTCTACTCCAAAATTTTCACAGGAGAAAGACCAAGCCTGAGGTGGCAATGAGGACAGTGTAGCTAAGGGTCATGCCTCAGTCACTTAGAGGTCATCATGAGTGTAATGAAAGCCATCACTCTTTTTTTAAAGTTTTTATTGTGAATTGAGTGATAGTTTATATGGGAGAACATCAGTTTTGCACTCATTGTTTCATTGCAATGATTACAAACTCCTCCACGTACCATCATTCAACAGTATTTGCTTCTAATCCCTCTGTTTTTTGGGGGGTGGAGTGGGGGGTGGAGTGGGGTGTACACCAAAACACTCAGGAATATATAATCATTTAAACAAAAGGCACATTCTGCAAGCCTGCCTCCTGGCCACCAGCATACAACCTTTCTCTTTCCATGAGTCTAGAGTCCTCAGCTGCTTCTTCTCTCCATGTCCTCATCTCTGCCTCCATCTCTGGTGTCACTGCTTCTCTGGATAGGGTTCCACATTCTGTTCATGCTCTTCTCCCTTGATGGTCCTAGGGTCCTCTGTTCCTGGAATGTAAGATTGACTACTCTCCCCCCTTTTATGTTATAAAACTTATACCTTTACAGTTGTGACAGTTGCAATTAATCATGATAACAATTACTCACTATTGAATCACAAGAATCTTATCCCCATCTCCTTTCACCAGACCCATCTAGACAAGATGAAAACTTTTCAGTAGGGATTCTACCTTCCCCCGCAAACTATGAAACTAAACTCCCTCTTGAAAACTTGTAAGCCAGTCACTTCATGCCTTTATCGCCCCCCCATTTTAGGTAGGCAATGTCTAAGTTGCCCATCCCTATCACCCCAGTGTAGTGGAGGTAGGATAAAGACTCCTTTCCTCTCAGTTGGTATTTTGAGCTACTACATCCACAAGAATAGGTCAAGTTCATCAAATTGTAGCAATTTACACTTGTGAAAGTCATCACCCTTGACTAACCTGTATTCAAGGCCTTTCATTGGCTGGTTCCTGCCTGCTTCTCCAATCTCATGCACCACACGCCTCACTCTTGGATGCTTCTAGAAAGCCTGCCCAACCTTTACCATGCCTCCAAGTCTTTGCTCATACTGCTCCCTTCCCTGGGAGTGTTCTCTTCCCACCTTGACCACAAGAAGCTCACCTCTTTTCCAATCTGCCTGGACAGGGCTGATAAAAGGAGATGAGGATAAGACTCTTGTGGTACAATAGTGAATAATTGCTATCAGGACTGACTGTGAGGGTTGGAAATGTAAAGGTAGATGCTTTGTGAGGGTTGGAAATGTAAAGGTAGATGCTTTGGGAGGGGAGCAGCTGACTTTGCAGTCCAGGGGCAGAGGTCCTTGGGACCATCAAGGGAGAGGAGTGGAGTGCGGGAACCTACAAAGAGAAGCAGTGATGTCAGAGATAGAGGCAGAGATGATAACGTGGAGAGATGGAGTGGCTGGGGACTCTGGACTCAGGGAGGGAGAGGGGCTGTGTGCTGATGGCCAGGGGGCAGGCTTGCAGGGTGTATGTACCCTTTGGTTGTTTGATGGTGCATGGAGGGGATTGTAATCATTGCAATGAAATGAAATATGATAGGAAGAGTGTAAAACTAATGTTCTCCCATGTAAACTATCACATAATTCAGAAATAAAAAGTTAAAAAAAAAAAGAAGCTCACCTCTGCATCCCTCCAAACCCAGCTCTAAGGGCACTTTCTCTTTGAAGACCCTTGAGCTCCTCCCTCCTCTAGTTTCCTCATTCACGCTTCTGCTGAAGTATTTCTACAGCCATCTCCTCCTTTCTGTGAACTCCTTAAGGGCAGGGACCATGGTTGGCTTTTCTCTAGATCCCCGGTGTTCAGTCCAGGGCCTGGCACACAGAAATACTCAGTGAAAGCTGAGTGAGTGAGTGAATGAAGGACTGGTTGATGTTAAGTGCCACAGTCAGCTCTGACTTACAGTGACCCTGTACAGGGTTTCCGAGGCTTGAAATCTCCACAGGAGCAGAATGCCTCATCTTTCTCCTATGGAACAGCTGGTAGATTCAAACTGCTAACTTTGCTGTTAGCAGCTCAACACGTAACCATGTGACTAGGGCTCCTTACCAAGTGACTTGGGGAGAGAATATTGAGGTAGAAGAGGCAAACCTCAGTAACCAAGGATGGCTGGGAATGACCCCAAGAAACCACCTAAAACACAGCTATTAATACCCTGAGAAACCATCAACTGATGAGGCTAAAGAGCTGGATAATATGGGTGCTGGTGAGGACGTCGGGAGCTGGCACCCCTTCGTTTGTTGGAGGCACTTAAACTAGAACAGCTGCTGCAATAGGAACTTTGGCAAATCCTGTGGCGGGCCTACATGCACAAGTCTTCCGGCTCCACAATCATAATTCTAGGAATTCATCCTCAGCTATATTCCTTCACAGGCAAAATGGGGTGTGAGCCAAGTTGTTGGTGGGCTGCCCATTGGTATCAGGGGCTGGTCAAAGGCAACGAGGCTGCTGTGTATACAGCAAGCTACTATTTGTGTAAAAAATCAAGAAAATCCATCTGCGCTTATGCGTTTCTAGGTGGAGACCCTCTCTGGAAGGATGTTCAAGGGGCTAGAAACCATGGGAAGTTACATGGCTGACGGAGCAGCTAAAGAGGCTTACTTTTCATTGTAAGCTTCTCAATATTTTTTGAATTTAGAAATGTGTGTGTTTATATTATCAATAACAAAATTAAAAGGAAAACAAAAGGTAAGGAACAGAGAGGGAGACTTAGGTCCTTTCCACTAAACTCTAATATCTTCTGAATTTGCTAAAGTGTATAGAAAAATCACCAAAAAATCAAACCCATCACAATGCTATGGAAAAAAGAACTGCCCCACAGGGCTTCTGAGTCTGAAAATCTTTCCGAAGCAGACGGCCCTATCTTTCTCCTATGGAGCTGAACTGGTGGGTTTGAACTGCCGACTGCAGCGCAATGCTTAATCCACTGCACTACTAGAGTCGTTATATACAAAATAGGTGGGAAAAAGACAAACTATAAGAGAAACCAGCATCTGTGCCAGGACTCACACACAGAACCTCCCAGCATCTTTGGCAGATGTTATTGGCCCTTCTTTGCAGGTGATGAAATGAAGCCAGCTCCTAGAAGTTCAGGATGCCCAGGGGCAACCAGTTGGAAGCATGTCAGAGCTGGGTTGGAACCCAAATCTGTAGCCACACTTGGGGTAATGCCACCCTGAGGAGCCAGCTGCCCAAGGCGTCACCAATGTGCTGGACCCAGAACTGGAATCCAGGAGGGAACCGCCATGGTGGAGAATTCTAGATAGTCAGTTCTGGGCAGTAGTCTGGGCAGGGACGGTGCCCAGTAGAAAGATCTGTGGGCATGACACCAGCAGGTAACTTCCCCTCTGTGGACCTAAGAGCCTCATTTATGTAATGGAGATGCAGGTGCCCCAAAACTCTGGGCTGTCCCGGCTCTCTGCGAGACTGCTTGTGGGCCCAGGCAGCTAGAACACGAACACTGCTTGCTAAATTCATCCCATAGTCCATTCATTCCACAGACATCTACGGAAGGCTCAGATACCTGGGCCGGGTTGCCCTGAGCAGTGGGCTTGCTCCCACTACATTTGTCCAGGCCTCCGAGCTCAGCCAGACTGGGCCCACACCCAAGGAAGGGCTCCTTGGTGTGCGCCGTCGGACAACGCCCGCTCGCCAGGCCAACTGTCCCTGACTCAAGTCCTCGGGTAGATCAGCGCCTAGACCCACTTGGAGGGGTTGATCGGCGCTCACCTCTATTCTCGAGGGGCGGTGCCACCGCCTCCGCACAGTTCCGCCCCGCCCCGCCCCCAGGCTGCCAATGAGCGCCGCTGTCCAGACCGACCCCACCCGCCCCGGGCTGTCCGGCCGCTGATTGGCCTACGCGGGCGCAGTGTCCCCGCACGTGGGGCGGGGGAGGGAGTGAATGAAGTGGAAGCCGGGCCCCCGCCCCCGCTCACCTCCCCACCCCCCTGTGGCGCCCGGTCCAGTGCTTGCGGGCGGCCGCCAGCAGCACCGGATCCTTGCTGGCGCCCAGCTCCCCGGGCAAGATCCCGCGGCACGGATCCGCGATGGCCAAGCGCAGCTCGCTGTCCATCCGCATCGTGGAGGGGAAGAACCTGCCTGCCAAGGACATGTGAGCGTGGCCGGGGATGGGAACCCCAACTTTCCGGGGAGGGGTGCCGCCCCATACGCCTGACCTTTCCGGGGTCCACTCAGTCCTCCGGCTAGCAGAGCAGCGGCCAGGGTATAGCCGCGGTGGGGAACTCGAAGGGAAAATGGGGACAATGAGATTTGTGGACAGGAGGTGACAACAGGGGAAAAGGGTGTCAGTGAAGGCCACGGACTAAGGAGGGGTCTGGGGTCTGTGAGTGGGTTTAGTGAGCAGGGAGGAAAGGGGCTTTGATAGGACCGGAGCTGGGTGCCATGGAGACATGCTCGGGAGACAGCCTAGTGAGCTGCCAGGGCTGTGGCTGGAGAGGGGTGGGGTGACCCCTAGATATGAGAAGCCGGGTCTTCCTTAGTTCCGGGGCTCTCATTCCGGACTGTGCACCTGACACACATCTGTCCCTTCCACGTTCCCCTGGGGCCCAGTGGACTGACCCTGAGCTTTGTGCTGGGTATTTGGGAAGGACCGGACAGATATGGATTCTGGGATTCACGCAAAATGAGGAGGCTGAGTGATGCCTTTCCTGGTGTCCTCTGCTTTCCCCAAACCACCCCTCTAACCCTCACGACCACTCAGCAAAGCATTTCTCAGAATCTCATTTTGCGCCGAAGTTCCAAGTGGCCCAGCCTAGTATCTAGGGCATTCCCTGACCCTCAGCTAGATTTGGGGAGAAGGTTTGAGGGACCCCTTGTTCCATTCTTTTAGAAGGTACCTGGACTGAGGTACCTTTCCTTTTGTTCCCCATCTTGGTTCTGCCACTAGAGTCCCTGTATGCAACCTTAGGCCATTCTCTGCTCCTGAGTCCCAGTTTTCCCTTCTGTAAACTGAGGGTTGAAATCCCTTCCAAAGTGAAAATCACAGGGGTGCTGGCTGCCTGGAGCAGAGGGAGGGTGGCGGCGACATTGAGTCCAAAGTCTGCCAAACTGGAGCCTTCCCCACCCTCAGGCTCCTCAGTGGAGAGGGGCTGGGGGCAAGGGATGGCAGGGCATCTCTCTTTCCCACATGAGCTTCCCCACAATTCTAGTTCAAGGCTCCATAACCTGGCTCAGCAGTTGCCATGGCAATGGATGAGGGAGGGGTAAGGGAGGGGATGAGCGGTCACAAGGTGGGATTCTGTGTACAGTGGAGGTGGGGCAGGAGCTGGGAATGGGGTCTCTGACGTGGAAATGCTGATGAGCTATGAAAAGGCTCTCAGCCCTTAGGTCCAGCCTGCAAGTACCCCCCCATGCTGGTACCAGGAACTAGGTCATCTTGGCCTCCTCTGGTTGGTGGCAGCTGGGAGGAGCAGCCCCCCCCCCCTCCGTCTGTCGCCTCCCTCCCCTTCAGCAGCTGGGCTCTAGTGCTTGCTTCAGACTCTCACCAGCCCAAGGTGTCCACCTGGCAGCCAAGGTACCCTGGTCTCCCCCTCCCCCAACCCATCCCTGCCTTTGCACAGCTGAAGGACTCTGGGATAGGCGTCTCCATCCTGGGACCCCCAAGTTCTGCCTCCAGAATCTTTTTCCTTACCTGCCCCCTATCCACCTCTCTCTACCACCTCTTCCCTGCTTTTTCCACCTGTCACCCCTCCCTTAAGCCTGGCTGTGGCTCCCTCAGCCCCACACATTTACTACTGCCCTGGAATATGTGAGACCTGAGTCCTGGTGTGGCGCTGTGGGCTAATGCGTCAGACTGCAAAGCCATTTGAACTGCAAGGTAGGCGGTTCAAGCTCACCAGCTGCTCCTTGGAAACCCTATACAGGGTCGCTATGGGTCAGAATCCACTCGAGGGCACTCAAAAACAACAATAACAATGCCTCCACAGCACTCCCATTCAACGCTCTCCAGAAAGTTCCTACTCATCCTTCAGGACCCCTCTCAATATCTCCGCTCCAGGGATATATCTGCGCTCTCTCGAACAGGTGTTGTTGCCCCTGCTTTGTGCCTTCCAATGGGTTGAGACTTATAGGAATTAGAATGCAGCCTGTGTGTAGCAGTTACTCCGTGCCCATGTCTGCCTTGGGGGCAGGGACTATGACTCATTTGTCTTGACATTCTGAGTCCCTGCTGAGTCCCTGAGGGAGAATAAGAGGTGACCAGGACCTTTCTGTTTAATCTTTTTATTAGCCCTAGGAAGTAGATATGCTCAGTTTGTAAATGAGGAAATTGAGGCCCAGGGTGTTTAAGTAGCTTGCCAAAACTACATAGCAGGTGATTTGAGACATCAGGATTCAAATCTTCTCAGTCGGCTGCTGGAATGAGCCAGGGACCTGGCTGGGCCAAAGCTGCAAGTTGGCTGTGGGGCTCTGTGGTGGACACCGGGACTTGCAAATCCTATGCAAAGCATTTGGCTTGCAGGGGCTTGGAGACTATAAGTAACCCTCATTGAGTGTGTCCTCCAGCCAGGACTTGCATACTTCTGGGGACAGGGAGCCCACCACTTCTCCTGGTGATCCTTCTTTTGTTTTTAAATTTTGTTGTACTTCAGGAGTTACTTTTGGATTAAGGTTTAAAGATTGTCTAAGGCAATCGATACGCTCTGGTGGCGTTGTTGTTGTTAAGGGCCATCTAGTCAGTTTCGACCCATAGCGACCCTGAACAGGGTTTCCGAGGCTGTAAATCGTTACGGGAGCAGATCGCCTCATCTTTCTCCCACGGAGCAGCTGGTAGTTTCGAACTGCTGACCTTGCAGTTCGCAGCCCGATTCGTAACCACTACGCTACCAGAGCATAGTGGTTACCAATCGGGCTGCAAACCTTAAGGTCAGCAGTTCAAAACTACCAGCTGTTCCGCGGGAGAAAGATGAGGCTTTCTACTCCCATAAAGATTGACAGCCTCGGAAACCCTATACAGGGTCGCTATGAGTCGCTTCCGACTCCACGGCACATCACTACCACCATGGCAATGGTTTCAGGGATTCATCCACCCTCCTTGGCTCCAGAAGTCTAGAATCCACAAGTGTTTGAGATTCAGTTCTGCATTCCCCTTTGATCAGAATTCATCTACAGGATATTTGATGAAAATGTCAGTAATGGTAACCTGGGCATCCTCCAGGTCTGATGGGCTCATGGCAAAGGAAGAAGTTGTTCATGGAAGCAATTAGTCACGCATTCCGTTTCCTCAACCTATTCCTTCTACCTGTGTGGCTGCAGGTGAATAGAGACTAATTGTTGTGCATTGAATGGTCACTTGCAAGTTTTTAAGACCCCAGGAACAATATGCACCAAACTAGGAGGTAGAACCGAAGCACTAAACACATTAGGCTGATTAACTGAGATGACCTATAAAAACTGTGACCCCCAAATCTCCATAGTGGTCCATCTTGTCTGAGACAGTTCTGAGGAGGGCTTAGTCCTCACACAGAACTGCCACCTGCTTCAAGGCCACTTCTATCCGGGGTTTTTGCCACAGCACAGTTCCGTATCGCCAACAGAGACCATGGCCTGCCTGCTTAGGGGTGACTCTGGGGTTGGTGTCAGTAACTCATGGTCACCCCCTCATGGGTGGAGCCAGCCAGAAACCCATCCCCAGTGAGCAGAGCTGCTGCCCATCCCAGTTGCAGCCACACATCACCCTGGGGGGCACAGGGGAGGAGAAGGAAGGCTCCTCGAAACCCCTCCCCTCTCCTGTTAGTAAAGGTGGAGGCCCGCCTCGGCCTTGCAGCCCTGACAGGTAGGTGACAGGTAAAGGCATTACTGTCTTTATGTCTTTTCCCTTGCCACCACCATGGACCCTGGGGTCATTTTGGTGTCACCCCCCCCCCCCATGACAGTGTCAGGGGGCTTGGTCTGTACCACCTCCCCAACCTGTGCCGTCTTTAACCACCTCACTTTGTCTGTTTCCTGTCCCTGTCTCCTGTTCTGGGTCCTGGAATCACCCAGGCATGGTGACCAGTGACCCACTGTCTCCCACGCCCTGGGGACGGGCCTGGGGCTATTTTGGAGTTTGCCCTGATCCTCCCCTTTCTAAGCCTGTAAACTGCCAAGGCCCTAAATATAGAGGCCCCACAAGAAGCCAGGCTGAGCCAGAGGCAACTGGTGTGGGAAGGAGAAGTAGGAGAGGGACCCGTTTAGGGAGCTCATTGGGGCAGCGGGGACTGGACTGGGACCAGGTCCTCAGGGAGCCATAGTTGGGCCCAGCTTCTTAAACCTGGCTTTAACCCACTCTTGACTTTCTCTTCTTTGTGTCCCACCCAGCCCATTGCTACCTTCGAACCCTCCCATCTGTCCCGGCTTCCAGCCCTTTGCCCATGTCAGTGATCCTGCCTGAAACCCAAGCCGGCGGGCTCACCATTCATTCATGTGTTCACTCCCATTCCATTCATTGAGAGCAGAGCATTAGGCTGTGCTGGGCCCACAGGGAAAAGCCAGAGAGCATATGTCCCAAAATGTCCCCTGGGCCTGCAGATGGGCAGAGGCATTCTCGTGCTGGGGGCATCCCAGAGAGTCACACGCAGGGCTTGCCTGCCTCTGCCTGCCCTGATCTCCTCACCTCTTGAGCTCATTGTACAAATACAATTGATGGTCACTCTTGGATTTTAAATTTGTGGGTTCACCTACTTGTTAAAATGTGCTTGTAACCCCCACATCAGTCATTCCTGAATATGCACAGAGCAAGCGGCAAAAAATTTCAGTTACCCAACGTGCAGGCGATTGAAGAAGTTGAAGGCGGTAAAGCTTTGCCTTTTTGTCTCAGCTCTCATACTGTAACCAAGGGTCCTTATCACAGTCTATTTAGTGCCGTGGATTTCAGGGGGTTTTTTGGTTTGGGTTTTGTTTTTGTTTTGCATTTTGGTGATTTTCATGGCTGTTGTTTCACTGTTTAAAATGGGCAAGCATCGTGTTGATGTTTTAGCTAGCATTCCTAAGCTCAAGAAGGCTTTTACGCATTTATTTCAGTGCTGCTGACTTCAGTTCAGTGTTAATGAATCAACAATGTGTATCAAGTAAGGTGTCTTGAAACAGAAAGATATTTTTTTAGAAAAATTTTTTAAGTTATGTATTGACTATTAGCAAAAATCAGACCGGGGTCCTGCAGAAACTAACCCTGCCCATTCAATCAATCCCTAGTAACACAGTAAATTCAGGATTCGCTAATTCAGTGTTTGCTACAACTCTAAATCATTACTACCACCTATAAAAATAATAACTGGAGTCCTGGTGTGGCGCTGTGGGTTAATGCACTGGACTGCAAAGTCCATTTGAACCCCAAGGTTGCCAGTTCAAGCTCACCAGTTGCTCCTTGGAAACCCTATACGAGGTCGCTATGAGTCTGAACCGACTCAAAGGCACTTAACAACAACAACAAAAACAACCACCACCCATATTAACAATAGGAGTCCTCATGTGGCGCTGCGGGATAAACGCTGGACTACTAACTGGTTCAAACATATAAATGTCTCCTCAGAAACCCAGGGTCACTATGAGTCGGAACTGACTCAGCTGGCACTTAACCTTAACAGCAACATAAGAATTAGCTCTGTGTGTGTGTGTGTGTGTGTGTGTGTGTGTGTGTGTGTGTGTGTGTGGCTCTGGACTCTCAGTTCAGCACCTGCAGCACACAGGGGGCTGACTGACTGAGGCCTGGAGTCCTCTGCCTTCAGGGTGGGTGGGCTGGGAGCTGGAGGAAGGGACCACTGAATAATGGGGAGGGGTACCAGTTACAGCCAGTAGGCAAGGATTCAGGCTGAGAGCGGCCCATGAACTGGGGTAACAATCGCTGCTCTACTGGCTGGAAAACTGAGTCTTGGCAGGGACTCCACAGGCGTCAGGAGAGCTTTCATTTTTTCCTGAGTGGCTTCCTTTGCTGCACAAGCCCCTTTTGAGAAGGGAAGTCGGGCTTGGAATTCCCCAGCTTCCAACATGCAAATCCACTTCCTTTTTTAAAAAAAAAAAAAAAAAA